AATAGATGTTAGCTCAGAGCTGGTCTTCCTCACCAAAAAGAGGAGGATTGGCATGGAGGTTAGCTCAGGGCTGATCTTCCTCACAAAAAAAAAGAGATGTTTCTTTTTTTCTCATTTTTTAATTTTCTTATTTTTCTAATGTATTTCTAATTTTTAAGATATCTAGAGATAAATCAGTTTCTAGTCTTGCATGTTAGCAAAATTAAAAATGCTTTTTAATTGCTTTATGGCATTGCTATTATACTGGTTATTATAAAACACATGAAAAATCATTTTATTTTCTACATCATCATTTAAGCCTGTTTTCTGTATTGCAGTGAATTTCAGAGTAAAACCAGTATCTTACTAAGGTTACACTACATTTAAATAGCCCGTATTTCTATTTGGATTTTATTCACTCATAACTGCATGTAGCTGTTTGCGCCAGTTTGTGTGCTGTGGGAGAAACCAAGCTGCTTTTATTCATAGGAGCTGCCAGGAGGCTATGGCCGTGTGAAACCTGACATTGTCACCTACGGTGCTGGAGTGAGGGGCTCCGGTGTGAAAGGGGGGTGCCGGGCCCTCTCAGGGACCAGCGTGGCTTCTCCGGTGGTCGCCGGCGCTGTCACCTTGCTAGTAAGGTGAGTGTTGCTCAGCAGAGAAAAGGTAGCAGGAGCTGAGTCTTGGCGTGTCACCCACCAGGTTTGAGAGTTTAGGAGCACGTCACGTGACCTTGCTCCGTCTCTGGTTCTTCATCTCGACAAAAGAGGTTGGAGTCCGTTCTTTCATGGAGGGTTCTTGTGCGAGTTAGATGACGTACATGTGAACACTGTGCTCTCCCCGTGGAACACTATACAAGGGCAAATACCGATGACTGTTTCTAGGTTTGAGGTCTGTTTTGGTTTGGTTTGTTTAAAGACTTTTTTTTTTTTAAAGCAGTTTTAGGTTCACAGCAAAATTGAGGAAGCTACAGAGATTCCCCATGTATTCTGTGCCCCCATTTGTTTTTAATGCACCGTTTTTGTGCTACAGTTGTACTTGTTATATCCAAACAAGTGTGTTTATCAGGCAGGGAACAAAAAGTAAGCTATTTCCCTGCCATGTCCTCCATTTCCTTGGGGATTCATCTTTTAATGTACTCTGTTAGCTAAGGAGCTGTGAAAGCAGGCAGTGGGTCTGACAGTCACCACTCCGTTATGAGAGACGAGTTTCTCAATGTAATTTGTTTGTTCTCTCTGTCTCGTTGAATCCCACTTGCAGTTGGAATGGAGCTTAGTGATCGGCCCTTAATTTTGCAGATAGTGAAACGGAAGAAAGTTCTCAAAGGTAGTCGACCGGAATCGATGCTCATGTGCTCTGACTTAGTCGGATGGGCCATGGTGCGTTGTTCTCTAAGTTACAAAAAGATGTCTTTGCAGCTAGCACTTATTTTGTATTTTCACCCAAAATAACTCTTTTTTTTATCTAAGTGAGGCTTTAGTTGAGCTTTTGTGTTGTAATAACATAAAGCTTTGCATATTTGAAAGTTGTTATACTCCATGTGAATTTCAAAATTAAATTAAAACAGGCAAATGGTAGTAAGGTAGTAAATGTTTTTATATTTAAAATTCTCTTTAAAAACAAATTTATATTGTTAGTTTAGCTTCTAATGCCAGAGATTTTTTTTTTTTTTTTTT